CCTATATCTTGTAATATGAGAAACTACTTTGGCAGTAACAATACACAATGTACTAACCATTGTTACTCTCCTAAAATCTTGTTTTGAGATTTTGTACCATTGTTTTTATTTTTTTTTCTTTAAAATAAAAATAACTGATGTCAAAAAAAATAAAATAAATAAATAAAAGAAGAACCTGGGTTCCATTCTCAACATGCACACATGTACACATGTATATATACATACACACACGCGCGCGAAAAAAAAAAGGGAAGGAAAAGAATTGCCTAAAGGGCACAGAAACCAAATCAATCCAATGTTAAAAGTTGTAATCATCTTTCTTGAAAAACAAAAATCATGACCTTCCATGTCCTACAGAATAGAAGTCTCTTAGAAACATGATTAAACAAGAGAAATATCAGTGTACAAAAGAAGAGCTTAAAAAATAAAGAAAAAGAAAAAAAGAAAAGCTTACCTTGTGGTGTACTATGATGATTTTATGTAAAAAATGCTTAATAAATAGACAATCTTTCATCAAAGTTCTTGGCTTTTCATTAATCTGTAACAACACAACAAAAACACGTTTCATATATACAAGGTGTGATCAAAATATACAGTTAATGTTGAATTTTTTTTAAAAAAAACTATCACAGTAAAAGATATACCGCTTTCCTCTCTATCAAAATATTCCTGCCGGGGAGATGGCTCAGTGGAATAAGCACTTCCCTGGCAAGCGCAAGGGCCTGAGTACAATCCCCGGTTCCGAAAAAAAAAAAAAAAAGAATTAAAATATTCCCTACTATTTTTGTCACTTACTAAAGCAGTTTTGGAAGTCCTCACCAAGTATCAAAAACACAGTGAATGCCACTGCCTAGAGCAAACCAATGGAAAGGGAGGTCTGTAAAAATATTACAGTATGTCTGCATCCACCTCACTCACCCGATCTAGCACATGTGACTTCTGGCACATCCCCAAATTCAAAATGAAAGTGAAAGGTAAATGTTTCCAATCAACTCAGGACATCAAAGCAGCCATGACCGTGTAATTAAAGATGTTTATTAAAGAGCACTTCCAAATAGCTCAGCAGTATAAGCACTTGCCTGACAAACTCAAAGTCCCAAGTTTGATCCCCAGTACCACACACACATTCACCAAAAACAGCACTTCCAGAAATGCTTCAGAAAATGTCAAGATTGGTGGGATCAGTGTATTCAAAGTATGGTCAGAGTAGTCTGAAGGAGATTAATAATAGTATGGCTTGTACTGTAATAAATTTTTTTAAAAATTTAAACATTCACCACATGTCTAGAAGCTGATGGGCATCACTTTGAGCATTCTTCTAATTGTGGAGACCAAAGGTAACATATTAATCTCATGATGTCTCAATAAATTTACTATTAAAATATTTATATTTTTCTTTTCCTGAAATGCACTATATATGCCCTATCTACTTTAGCATGCTTTTAAGGATCTTTATATCTGAAAGCATGTATTATACATGGTAACACTAATAGATACTACCTGTTGGATGCTGTTATAGTTTGTGTATAGTTGTCCCCTCAAAGCCTTATGCAGTCTTGAGGCGGCTTCTGGAGTTTGTGATTGATTATTGTGGGTGTGGATGCTGCACCTGCCCTGGGGCAGGTAATCTGCATTTCAATGTAAGGAGGTAGGAGAAGCTAGCTGCTTGAGCTGCTGCTACTACTCCCTTATGTTCTTGCTCTTTGCCACTGCCAGGAAAAGTTGCTCCCTGCCTTGTGCCACTCTGTCTTGGAGCCAATTGAATATGGACTGAAATCTCAATAACTGTGAGCTAAATAAACCTTTCCTTCCTTCAATTTGGGTGTCAGGTATTTGTCCTAGCAATGAGAGAAGAGTAACTAAAACAGATGCCTACAATGTGAGATGCACTGTATAGGTGATATATATTCATTATCTCAGAGCAACCCTGTAAGGTAGATAGTACTATCCCAAATTTGTACTTAAAAACATAGGGGGAGGTACCTCAGAGAATATTACCAACTTGTCTGTGGCCATCCAGCTCTTCAGTGACAGAGTCAGAATTTGATCCTATATATTTTTAGTATCAATTCCCCATAGCTTTGCCAATATAATAGGAAACTCTCTTTTTAATAGGAATGAATCCAGAGCCCTTGCACTGAGTTACATCCCCAGTCCTTTTTTATTTAAGTTTGGAGACAGGGTTTTGCTAAGTTACTCAGACTAGGCTCAAATGCATGCTCCTCCTGCTTTGAGAAAGTGCTGTGTTACAGGCATGCACAATTGTGCCCAGCTAAGACTTATCATTTAATGATGGATTTTTCTGCTCTAGGAATGTTATGTTATTTCATTTAACTTTCACAGAAGCTATTAAGTCCATATGACCCACACTTTATAATGAAAAAAAATTTAAAGATGTTAAACAACCCATCCAAGTCTACTCAGGTTGGCTGAACTCCAAATGTTTCATTTTTAAAAAAGCAGTACTGGGGACTAAACAGGACTTTTACACTGAGCTACATCTCTAGCCTTCTTTTTTATGTTGAGACAAGGTCTTGCAAAGTCACTAAATTGTCTAGGCTGGGCTTGAGCTTGTGATACTCCTGCTTCAACTTCCCAGACTGCTGGGATTACAGATTACATTTCTCTGCTCCAAATCTTGAGTATTAACCATTTTACTATTAAATTCCTAAATTTAATATAGTGTACTAAAATTAAAGGTAGAAACAGTCTCCTAGAAAATAAAAGTATAGGGGCTGGGAAGATAGCTCAGTAGAATAAGTGCTTGCCTGGCAAGCAAAAGGACCTGAGTTCAATTCCCGGTTCTGTAAAAAAAAAAAAGGAAAAAGAAAATGAAAGTATAGTCAAAAATCAGTAAGTTATTAGTGACTCAGAACATACAGAACTAGGTATTAGGTATAGTTTGGGGAGAAAAAATATGATTGCAGTCTTCGAAAAACTCATGACACAATAAAGGAGAAACATAACAATATCTAATAAATAAACTATACATTTTATAAATCCACTAAAAGGAAGGTTAAAAATTGTATAACATGTGAGGATTATTAGAAAGATATTTGGAAAATGTTAAATAGCTAATGGATTATTAGAAAAGTCTAAAAAGTATAGGATTATTCATGTTTGTAAATAGTGGGCATTAAATAGTATCTGCCATGTATATATCATAGTCATACTTCATTTTAAATTTTTACTATAGAATGTTTAAACAATAGAAAAATAATGGTCTCTTGGAGCTGGGGAGATGGCTCAGTAGAATAAGTGTTTGCCTGGAAAAGTAATGGTCTCTTAAAAGCACTTTTGGGGGGCTTGCCAGTTACCTCAGTTGTTTAAGCACTTGCTCATGCAAATGCAGTGAGGCACAGGATACCATGGTTTGATCCCCAGCTCCACCTATCTTACTAGACCCGCTTCAAGGCAGCCTGAGCCAGCCAAAAAAAAAAAATAAAATAAAAATAAAAGCACTTTGTACTTGACACTTTCAAAACAACTTCTTGGAACAATTCTGAATCTGTAACCTTGGAGATTATAGGGTATATCATAGAAAGGTCTAATTATGTTTAACAGTAAGGCAACTAAATAAAAAAGTTCATTTTACAGGGGCTACAATTAACAATGATGACAGCTACCATTTACTGAACATCTGCTACATGCCAACCAGTTTATGTCCAAACAGGAAAACCCCCATTTTAAAGAAAAAGATCATAAGACTCACTAATTTATTTATCCAAGGTCACACTCAGCTAGTTAAGTGCCATCACTGGAATTCAAACCTGTTTCTGATTAATTACAAAATCCATAATCCATTATGTGATGCTACCTCTCCAATAAAGTTCATTTCTGTACATAAATCTGAATGGATAATATAGGCCAGGGTGTGGCTCAGCAGTAGAGTTCTTGCCTAGCATCATGCAAAGCCCTCTATTCAATAACCAGCACACACATACACACACATAATCTCATGCATGGTATAAAATCCATCTTTTTTTTTTTTTT